ATCGGAAGAAGAGAGATAAAGTGCTTTCATTGGATGGATGATTCGTTCTGAGAGAGAAAAGTCACACAACACTGTTAGGTGATAATATAATATTTGATCTTTTGGCAATAATATTTGTTCCTTTGGGCTGAGACGGTGCTGAGAGGCTGGCAAGGACCTTGCTGCCACTACCAACACACAGCATCTCCCCATGCCTGCCCAGGCAGTCAGGATCCCAAAGGAAGGCTGGGGGATTCTCAGGGAATTGCTTGTCCCAGCAGCCGGCCAGCGTGTAGGCAAAGCAGTCATTAAAGGCCCCTGCTATTTTCCTTCAAGCAGGTCGGTGTGTTGGACATGCACCAGTTTCACCAAAAGAGGCTTTGGACTCTGCACTGGCCACGATCGGATCTACACTACCCCAAAGCACCTCGTTTCGGAGATGCTAAAGCCAACCAACATTTTTCAACAGCCTTTGTTTTAATCGCTGTGAGTAGCTGCTGTGTCCGGTGGTGACCATGGGCCGCAAACAAGAGCAGTAGGACAAGTCCTGCCTGCTTGACCCTCCTGCCAGCGAGCGGCACCAGCCGGGCTCCTGCACGGAGGCGGGAATGCTGGGAACGAGGGTTGGGGAGGTACCTTTCTGGTCTGGTGTAGGAGATGATGGAGTCCAAGGGAGGTAAGGGGTCAAACCCCATTACCGGCTGCGATGCCACCTCCTGGAGAGGACAGAAAGAAGGAGGTGACGGTTGTGCTGCTGCCAGCAGCAAACACCGAGGCACGGCAAGATAACCCGTCTGCGTGTCCTGTGGGACAGTGGCTGAGGTTTAAGACATGCCCAGCATTTGCACGCACAACAGGGAAGCAAGTGCCATCTGCACCCCTCACCAGAGGCAGAGCTGCTGTGGCTTCCTTCATCTCCGAGAGGATCACGTGCCGGTAGATATTCCTGGGTGCACTCTGGTATCGCATCTTCCTCCTAAGGCCGGGAGGGGAGACACGGGATTGATGCTGCGGGATCGCACGGAATACCCCTCACCACAAAGAACTTCTCCTTTCTGCTTCTCTAGGTGCTATTATCAGCTTCATCTGTGGTTCTGCTGGGATTTGCCACATTAGAAAGTGCTGGTCTAATGCAAAACCAAAGTCGCTTAGCAGCTTCTTACCTCTAGATAAAGAGCAGAACGGCTCAGAGACGCTGCCCGGCATCTCAGCCCCTCTCTGCAGGCAGCAGAGCAAACTCCCTCCAGTCCAGCACTGACCAGCACTGACTGCCTCCCTCGCAGCTCTAGCGGGAGGTTGTTCTGAGCACTTGCCTGCCCTGCTGAATGCCCTGGAGCCACCACTCCCAGCCAGCAGCACCCCCTGCCCTTCCCTGCTTCCCCCAGCAAGAGCTGCAGCTCTGAACCCACCTTCGTGCAAAGCCAGGACAGACAGACCCACAGCGTCACCCTGGGCAGCAGCAGCTCTGGGGCTCTGAGCCAGCTCCAAAGTCACTGCTGCCCAGGAGGGAACTTGTCTGTCCCGGCCTGGTCTGTCCCGGCGTTCCTGCACCCCCGGGCAGCACAGGAGCCTCCCCTCTGCCTGCTGCACTCACTTGTGCTCACACTCCTCCACCAGCGGGTCCCTGGCGTCCACCTTGCACAACACCTCGTGGACGTTGGTCTCCAGCCAAGCCATGACAGCGGGGTCCTTCCACAGGGAGTGGGTCCTTCCCACGTAGAGGGACGTCAGCTGGTTCAAGGCAGGAGGCTGGCTACAGGAGACAGTGATTATTCAGGGCCCCTTCCTTCCTCCTGCCTGAGTTACCTGTGCTGTCTGGAAAGGGCTCAACTCTGGGCTGTGCTTCAGTGTGAGAATAGGATGAGAGGAATCACAGGCTCCCAGCTTGGCTATTTACATCTACCTCCACCAGTTTTTCTGCCTCTGTCTATTTTTGGGACAAGCAAGGCCATGAGATGAAAGTTCTACTGTCTTTACCCGAGGGGGAGACCATTCATGTGTTTACAGCACCACGTGTCAGGGAAACCCAGACTGGCAGGAGACAGCCTGCCCCCAAAGCATGCACACGCCGTTCCCTTGCTACATGTATCAACAAGCTACTGTATGGACTTCTGACCCATCTGCATTAAGGTGAGGCCGGTCTATTAGACTGATCTGTGGCTTTTATGGGAATCCATTATCAAAGCATCTGCCGGCCTCTCAGCATGCCCTGTTTGGAAAGGGCAGATATTCTCCACCACAGCTTATGACTCCATTAACTGCCTGAGCAAGCAAGAGCCTCATTACCAGAAGAATTGATTCCTTCCATTTATTAAGAACATTGCCAGGTCTTACCTTATCTGAGCGTTCAGCCCAAAAAAGGAATGGGATGTGACCCTGGCATCTGCCTGCACACTGCAGTGATCCAACAGCGGCATAAGAACTGCAGGAGAGAGTCACAGAGCTGGTTTGCAGCAGCCTGCTGGGAGCAGCCACCAAGCCTGCCAGGGCTGCAGAGACAGCCCCGTGCAGGGAGGACGAGTCTCCCAAGGCTGGGGACACTGAGCGAGAACCAGCGCCAAGGGGACACTGCCAGCTCCACAGCTGGCATTTATGCTGTGTTTAATTCTCTGTGTGGATGATGGAAACAGATCCCAAGGAAAAAAGAAAAAAAAACAGCTTTTTTTTCCCCCCTGTGAAATAAGGTGCAATTCTGTGCAATTAATGCTGCTGGCCTTTGAACTTGAACAAGGGTTTATTTCAGGCACCATGACAAGCAGCAAAAAATGTTTTCAGCCAGCACAAACTAAAGCTCTGTTCAAAAACTGGCTGCTCCTGACTATAAAGGCACCCGCTCCCCGGCCCTCCATGTCCCCCCGGGCCTGGAGGGGCTGCATATCTCCTTTCAGGGACAGGAGCCCTAACTGGATAAAAGCAAGAGTGATGGGCACTCACACAGACCACATCTAAAGCCCAGCAGTGCCTCGGAGGGAGAGCTGAGAGAGACTCGCTGTCTCTGCGCCGAGGAGCCCTGCGGTGAAGCGTTTTCCTGCTCCAGGACTCCAGTTCTCAGCCTCCCCCAACTCACGAGCCCATGACTACGTGCAGTGAAGGGACATCAGCTGCTCGGACAGGACAGCAGAGAGGGCAGGCGCCCATCTCTCCCCGTGCACGGCAGCTCGTGGCAGGGTCGGCCCCGTCCCATTCCTGGGCTCTCCCTGAGCCTTCGGCCTTCAGGAAGGCTCAACCAAACGGCTGCCTGCAGCGGCCGCGGGCGCAGCTCGGGCTCTGACAGCAGTGGCTGTCACTGCTGCTCTGCGCCACCCGTGCCACCCCCCTGAGCTCACAGGCTCTGGCAGACACCATCTGCAACCCCTGGGCAAACTGCTGCTTCTGTTTGTGACTGCCTGGAACCCTCATTTGCTTCTGCAGCTGAAGACAGTGACAAAGCCGGTGGGGACAGACTTACCGGTGGGGACAGACTTACCGCTTGGGAACATGATCAGCGCAAGCTGGATAAGCCGGGCTGCTTTCTCCCGGGCTTGGCTTAGTTCCAGCTCTGAGCACTCCTGCTGGCTCAGGAAGAAATAGGCCAGCGGAACTGAGAAGGCGAAATTGGGGAGCTGGGACAAATTGCGGTGACTCTGCGGGATCAGAGGGACAGTTTTAGTAAGAAAGGAAGACATGCAGAGGGACCTCAGCATGCCTGAGCTGTATGTTGAGTGGGATTTCTTGCTTCGTGGAGTAAGTTACTTCAGAGCTTCTGGCCTGGCTTGGTGCTCCCACAAGTGAGAGGGTAATTTTGAGCTCATATAACTGTTCATAAGGTGCCAGAATTACATGACAACAAGCACCCCAGCTTTTACGGGTCATTCTGATGACCTCAGGATGTCAGCCTGCCCCTGAGACAGCCCCCAAAGGGTTAAGCCAGTTACGAAAACCACATGCAACATAGCTCAGAAGGTCTATTTTGGAGAGAAACTGCAGGGGTAACTTTCCTGCAGCTCTAGAGATACAAGTGTTTGTCCTTTCATGCTCCATGGCACAGCTTCCCCCTCTGTAGCCCATCTGACACGGCAAGAGCCCACTGCAGAGCTCCGAGTCCCAGGAACCAGCTCCCTCCTCGTTCTGCCTTGTCTCTCGCCAGGGTGGCCTGGTGGCAACTCACCTCCCACTCCTGGAACATGCGTGTCAGGAAGCCGTATTCTCTAGCTCGAAGGGACAGAAAATCAATCAAGAGCAGCACACACAGCGGGTCGTTCTCTGGATCCAGGCTTTGGAGAGAGGCGAGCACAACAGGAGGAACCAAGTAAGTGCCACAAAAGCTTAACTAGCTGCCCGCATTTCTAAGGCAAATAAGGTTTTCCTAGCACCCAGAAGGCTCCCATGACTCGGCAAATGGAGATGAGGAGACCAAAATCACCCCCACATGGCCAGGAGGGCTGTGCCTGCCCCTACTGGGTCCACGTTCCTGCAGAGCGGAGATGGCTTCTCCACGGAACCACCCAGGAGGATGGAGGGCCACACAAGAACTGCAGGCTGAGGCCACTGTTGCACACAGGCTCTGCAAAGACTCAGTGCTCTGCAAGGTCCTTCTGCACCCAGGCCCGCAGCCGGCGGCGGGGAGGAGCTCACTTTTGGGAGGCAGCAGGGATGAGGAGCTCCTCGGGGGTCTTTACCTCAGGATCAGCTTGCAGAACTCCAGGGCTGTCCGAGGACAGCCTCTCTTCTCCAGGAACATCAGGTGTTTGAAGAGAGCCAGGTAGAAAGCTCTGCGCAGACAGAATAAGAACAGGTTTTAGGAGCCAGATTTAGAGAAGAGCATCTCATTTCACTCAAGGTTAGAGACCCGGTCAGCCTGAATGGCTCCTCCTTCAGGTATTAATGCAGCTGTGCAGCCAAGGGGGGCTCAGGACACCCATCCAGTGCTTCAACAGAGTGCCAGAGTCCTCTGCACAGGAGGCTCCAGATCCTCATCTCAGATTGTTCATCTTCATGCCACTGTACAAGCAGGGAGATGACAAAACTGGGGCCTATTTCTCTTCTGCTCCCCAAGGCCCCATAGCCTTGTGCACCCCACAGCACCAGGAAAAAGAAATAAGTAAATCCCTGAAGCCTGCAGGTCTAGCAGGGCCAGGCCTCAGCCCTTGTGCGAGGGGACAGTGGCACAGCGTGCACACAACGTACACGGGGGGACATCTCACCCCACCTGGGCAAGGTTGAGACCACAGCGTTCAGCTAACAGAGAGCACAAATTCCAGCAGCATGTGGGACCTAGAAACCTGAGCAAACTCAAGGTATCAAGACTTGGGATGAGATTACTTACAGCAGGTGACTGGAAAATTCCCAGCATAAAGTCACCTTTCTCCTCAGCTGCATAACTATCAATATTATATAAACAGCCAGGCCTAGATAAGTTGAAGTGCTGGGAACAAGGGCCGAGCAGAGATCACACAGGAGACCAGACAGACTTAAATTCACAGTGAGTATTTCTGTGACAAAAACAAGTGCCTTTTTGCAGTAATAGGCAATACCTGTACTGAAAAGAACACTGACAAGGAGGAAAAGCTAATGCTCAGATGAGAAATCCCTCAGGAAAGAAGGAACTTGACAGAAAATCTCAGTCTGCCTTGGTGTAAGTGACCTAGCAGAGCAAGAGCTGCCGGTGTCCCCGCTACCTGTGCCCTTCTCGCAAGCACTACAGGTGTTTTGCCTTTGTCCCTCTTGCCAAGGGACGTTGCCATTGACTGCTGAGTGGTACAACTTATTGTGATAGCAAGGGGAGCCCAAGCTCCCTAGCTACCGCTTGCAAGAGCAGATGATGCAGCAGACACTGCGAATCTGGGTCTCCGTGGGCAAAGGAGGCCACGGGCAAGGGGCTAACCGGCCTGGACACCGGGAAGGATTAACTAATTAACTTCTTTCTCTCATTTTAAAGGAGGAAGGCAATGTGACAAGCAGTCTTTGCCCAAAAGGCTCCAGCAAATGCTGCTGCTCTGAAGGATGGCACGAGGCTAAGTGCTCGCAGCCACAAGGTCGCAAACACGGGGCTGAACAGACCCTTCTGGTTTGCTCTTTCTTTGCTGAACCCGAAGCAGAAGTGAACCACACCTGACTGCTCCCTGCAGCTCTCACCTATGAGGTCGCGGGCCATCTCCTGGTCCTCTTGCATGCGGCACACGTCGCTGAGCTGCAGCAGCGAGTCCACGTGGTAGGGGTTCATCTGCAGCAAGAGCTAGGGGAGAGCGGGAGCTTGGTTACACCACGGCACGAATCACGGGGGTCTCGTGTGCTTGCCCACGAGGCAAGCTCTGTAAGCAGGGCAGGAAGGCAAACACCCTGGAACAGCACAGAAGGGAAAGGGACTGTTCCTGCCTCCGGGTCTGGAGCAAAGGAATCCTGTCCCACGCCATCGGGGAGCTCATGCTAATACTATAGCTGAAGGCAGGGCTACACCTCATTTGTAAGGCTAAAACTGCAGATTAAAACAACACAAAAACAACCACACTGAGTTAGACTACAGGTCCATCCTGCCCAGCACCCTGTCTCCAGAAGCAGAGGCCTGGGAAAGAGGGCAAGAAACAGGAAAACGTGGCGAGACCCAGCACACTCTCTAAGCTGCCAACCGTCAGGGTCCAGGGACCCCCAGTGGTCAGAGAGGCCATCAGTGCCTTCAGTGGAGCTTCCTCTCTTCAGTTTGTTCACTTACTTGTGTCAAGGCCCAGCACACTCTCTAAGCTGCCGTCAGGGTCCAGGGACCCCCAGTGTCAGAGAGGCCATCGTAGAGCTTCCTCTCTTCAGTTTGTTCACTTACTGGCCCTGCTAACTTTTCTGTACTCACTTTCTGTGCTACAAAGACCTATCTACAGCTTAAATACACCCTGCAAACAACTTCCCATGGTCCAAATCTTCCAGCTTTGTCCTTGTGTTGGAAAGGGCAGCAAGGAGATCCCTGCCCATCCTGCCCAGGATCTGGAACCTCTCTCTCAGCTTCCCTCTAGCACATCCTTCCAAAGGGAGGCCCAGCCAACCCTGCTTTTCTAGCACAGAGCCTTTGATCATCCTTTCCGTCCTTGTTCTCCTCTGTCCTTTTGAATGGGATATACACAGAATATTCAAGACGGGGACACATGCCATACCAGACCTTGATGTGAGTGATGGCCACCTCTCTCTGAGGGCCACCTAGGAGGTGAGAGTAGGTCAAGCAGCCTGCTGTTGACACGAGTGACATGTCACTCACATGATCATTCCTTGATCGTGAAACAGGAAAGAAAGGTAGTTTGCTGAAAAATGTTTGAAAGACTTTGCAAATGGATGATGGTCTGAGGATGTGCAATTGTTTCTCCAATTGCAGGCAGGACCCGAGCGCAGCAGAATACTGTGACAGGCAGTGGGAGCAGAGGGAATGCCTGCATCAGATTTAAGGAACTGGAGTAAATACTTCAGGAAATGCATGGTAATGGGAAGAGGTACAGGTTGGGGAAAAGTAGCATCTCCTTTCAAAGGGCCCTGCCTCGCAGCGGATCAGTGTGCAATCTACAAGAAAATGGGAATATGTCCTGGCAACGAAATGTTATTAGTGAGAATAACTAGATGCTTAAAATAAATGAATAATTAAATAAAAAGGGTAAGAAATCATACCAAGTGCATTATTGAATGCTTAGCCATGGTATAGGATTTTTTCTTGCAGAACCTGCACGGCTGAATCTACCTGTTTAGCACCACGGCTCCTTTGGAAAAGGATATTATCCATGACATCTGGTCTGAAAAATCAACTTCTGTGAATGGGCTTTATCTTTGAGTTTAGACT